GCTGCTGTTGTGGGCTCTTGAGAGAGCAGTTTCTGCTGCTGCTGCTTTTGCTGCTGCTGCTGCTGCTGGCCGCTGTGGCTGCTTCGCAGCAGCTTCTCTGCAGCTAGGAAGATTCATTGGAGGAAAAAACAGCAAAGGGTAAAGCTAGCAGCAGCAGCAGCAGCTGCTGCTGCTGCTGCCGGGTCTAGAGCGGCTGTTGTTGCGGCTGCTAGTTGCTGCTGCTGCTGCTCCCGCTGCTGCTGCTGCACTTGCAGCTGCTGCCGCACAGGCGCGCGTTGTATCTCCCAGCTCTGCGGCGAAAGCCGTAAACCCTAGACCCTAAACCCTAAACCCTAAACCCTAAATGAGAGACCACTTCCCCACACTCTGGGGCCTCTGGAGAAGCAGCAAGAATTATTATTTTATTTTTATTTTTTTAATTTTATTTTATTTTTAAATCAAAGCCAAAAACGCTTCCCCTGAATATCCCGCGATCTTGCCCGCATGCAGCCCCAAACCTAAACCCTAAACCCTAAACCCTAAACCCTAAACCTTAAACCCTAACCACTAAACCCTAAGCCGAATCTCTAGTCCGTGAACTTCCAGTTATAGAGAATCTTTTCATTGTAGCGGCGGCTACCTAGGCTTTAGGGATTAGGGTTTAGGGTTTAGGGTTTGGGCAGTTCCCCCGCGTCGCCTCCTTTGAGCTTTTATCTTTAAATTTACTTTTCTTTTTTAATTTTAATTTATTTAATTTATTCCATTTATCTAAATATCATAAGTATAAAACAAAGTTCCGCTTTTATCGCCGCTAAACCCTAAACCCTAAACCCTAAACCCTAAGCATTAAACCCTAAACCCTAGAGCCTACGCCCGAAACCCCACGCCCCATAAACCCTAAACCCTAAACGCTGGCTCCTGCGCCCCAAATGCTAAACTCTAAACCCTAAACCCTAAACCCTGAGGAGCTTCTAGAAGCGTGGCTGGAGACTTCTGATTTCTTTAAACGATTTGAAACAGTTTTAATTTAAATTAAAAACTTTTAAATAATTTAAAACAACTTTAGCTTAAATTAAAAACTTTCAAATAATTCAAAACAATTTTAATTTAAATTAAAAACTTTTCTTTTGCTGCACTGCTGCCGCAGGTGTACGTACACCCGCGGGGTGTATGTACACCTGAATCTGGCCCGACAATTCCCCTTTTGCAGTTTTTGCATTTTTGCAGATTTTAAACAATTCTTTTAAAACCCTTTTATAGGGTTTAAAACCCTTCTTTCATTTCCTTTTAAACCCTTCTGAACTCCTCTTTAATCTCGCCAAAAAACAAGGCTTAGCTGGACCCTAAAGCCTAAACCCTAAACCCTAAACCCTCAGTCCTCGCTTCTGCGCCTGCTGAAGGCGAAACCCTAGATCCTGAACCCTAAACCCTAAACCCTAAACCCTCGAGGCTCGGCCTGAATACATAATGGCCTCTGGATGCATGCAAAGGCGAGTCAGATCCCGTCCAAACCCTAAACCCTAAACCCTAAACCCTACGCCATCCACTGCAAAGGCCGCGCAGCGGCCTTTGCAGTGCAGCGGCTTAGGGTTTAGGCTTTGGCTGCAGCAAAACCCTAGCCCACTACTGCGCTTCCTGCTGCTGCTGCTGCTGCAGCAGATCTTCATCGAGGCGTCTCCTCCTAGCAGCAGCAGCAGCAGAACTTGCTGCCGCTGCTGCTGCTGGCGATGCATCCCCCGCGTCTGCTGCTGCAGCAGCAGCAGCATCAAGGGAAACTTCTTCTGAATTCCGCTTTCTGCTAGTAGTTGTTGCTGCGTCATCGCGTTCCTGCTGCTGCTGCTGCTGCTGCTGCTGCTGCTGCTTTCCTTGAAAAGAGGAAGCAATTGAACCATCTGCTGCGGAATCGGGCTCAGTTTCTGTTTCCGTTTCTTGGGCCACTTCTGAGGAGCAGCGGCGCTGCTGCTGCTGCTGCTGCTGCTGCTGCTGCTGCAGCTCCAGCAGCTCGCCCAGCCAGTCGGTGCAGCAGACGCAGCAGCAGGGCCGTTCTTCTTCGCCGTCGCTGCTGCCCTCGTTTGATTTATTTAATTTATTTAATTTATTTAATTTATTTAATTTATTTGTTTTATTTATTTTATTTTTTTTGTTTAATTCTTTTCGCTGCAGCGAAAAGAAACCCCCGCGAGCCCCCGCCAGACGGCGCGCCGCCTCAGTTAGTTCCGCAGAAACCTGAAACCCAAACCCTAAACCCTAAACCCTAAACCCTAAGCCCTAAGCCCTAAACCCTAAATCCTAAACCCTAGCGCCTACGTCCTAAACCCCGGTTGTACGGGCGCAGCGATGGAGGTTTCAAGCTAAATTGGACTTGCGAGACGGCTGCGCCTCGAAAAGCTGGTCACAAACCCTAGATTAGGGTTTAGGGTTTAGGCTTTAGGGTTTAGGGCTTACGGCGTTTGCCGCGGCAATGCGTTCTGCAAGAACGGGATCGTCTGGCAAGGGAGGAGACGAGGGCTCTTCGTAGCAGCAGTCCCGGACGCGCAGCAGCTGCAGCACAAACCCTAAACCCTAAACCCTAAACCCTAAACCCTAAACCCTAAACCCTAAACCCTAAACCCTAAACCCTAAGTTCTCGTAGAAGCAACAGGCCCACGTCGAAGGAAACTCTCGAAAGATGCAGACACGCATGACCTCCAAAGGGAGAAAATGAACACGGGCAACAACAAAACCCTAAACCCTAAACCCTAAACCCTAAACCCTAATTAGTGTTGAATTCATTTTTACTTTTCTAAAAGCGAAAAACAGCTTTTCCACCTCGCGGTGAGGAGGGTTTGAAACGACCTCGCACAGACGCTGCAGGGTCAACGGCGGCCTGCGCAAAACCCTAAACCCTAAACCCTAAACCCTAAACCCTAAACCCTAAACCCAAAACTGTGAAGCTGCTAGCCTGGCGCCCCTCTGTTGCTGCTGGACCTTTAGGGTTTCAGGCGAGGGTTTTAGTTAAAGGCGCTGGTGCCATTAGGGTTTAGGGTTTAGGGTTTTCCCGGGGGCTCAGGGTTCACAGAACAACAGCAGGGTTTAGGGTTTAGGGTTTACTGGCTGAATGAAAGCACCAACGCAAGGAGATAATCCCTTGAGCTTTCCCAGGAGAAGAGTCGCAGCTGCCGCTGCTGCTTCTTCCCCAAAACTGTGAACAACTGCAGCAGCAGCAGCAGCAGCAGCAACAAATCTGCTAGAAGCAGCAGCAGCAGCAGCAGCCCCCCCCAAGCAGCAGCAGCATCAGCAAGAGCAGCGTTTGCTGCTGCTGCGCCTGCGGCCGCGCCTGCCGCTGCCAAACCCTTCCCCCGCTGCTGCGGCCTCCTGCTGCTGCTGCTGCTGCTTCCCCGCCATCTGCTGCTGCTGCTGCTGCTGCTGCTGCGTCTGTGGGGGCCGGGGGTTCCTTGACTTTGCACAGCAAGACAAATGCTGCGCCAAAAAAAGAATTAAAAGAATAAATAAATAAATAAATAATAAATAAACAAATAAATAAATAAATAAATAACCTAATTAATTAATCATTAATTAATTAAAATAAATAATAAAATTAATTAAAAATGAATGTTGACATTTTAAATAAATCAAATGGGCGCACATATCAGCCGCTCGAGGCCCAGCCTATACACGACGGCATTTGGATCTGCTGCTGCTGCTGCTGCTGCTGGGGGTTCTGCTGCTGCTGCTGTAGGCGCTGCTGCTGCTGCTGTTGGCGCTGCTGCTGCTGCTGCTGTTAACGTCCCGCATGAAGGCTCTTCCTTGGCAGTGGTGCTGCTGCAGCCTTTGGCATTGTTGTTATTGGTGGTGCTGCTGCTGCTGGTGTTGCTGCTCTTGCTGCAGCAGCTGCTGCTGCTGTTGGTGCTGCTGTCGCTGGTGCTTCCATCGCTGGCGCACGGTGTCTGCTGCTGCTGCTGCTGCTGCTGCTGCTGGTGTTTTAGGGGAAAGGCTGCGCCCGCAGGCGAGTTTCCTGGACTGTCGCCGCTCATTTTGGGGGTGAGGGTTTAGGGTTTAGGGTTTAGGGTTTAGGGTTTAGGGCCTAGGGTTTGGGCCCCCATGGGGCTTCCCCGATGCTCCCTGCGGAGCGGCGGCGCACCATAGAAAACCCGCGAGGCAGCGGCGGAAGTGGAAAGGAGAAAAGAAAGAAAGAAAGAAAGAAAGAAAAGCAAAATTAAGTGGAGAGCAGCGGCGGTGCAGCAAAGTAACCCCCGAGTGCATGCAATGAAGCTCTTCGGCTGCGTCGGCTCCAGCCCCGAGTGCAAAAGAGAAAAGCAAATTAAAAAATAATGTTTAATTCCATTTCTTGAATTCTTGCTTCGCAGTTCTCTTTGCCAACTGCAGCGCGCAGCCGCAGGCAGCAGCAACATGCAGCAGCAGGGGGGGGCCTCTTGCCTCTTTTCGCGGATCGCCGGCGTCCCTCGCGTCGTTTTCAGAAATCCTCCCACCTCCGCCTTTGCTTTTGCAAAAGAAATAAATGTGAAGCCGCTTTCGTCGCGCGGCCGCGGCGCCGCGGCTTCGGGTGTACGTACACCTCCCGCCGCGCCGCGCGCGGCCGCGTTCTCGGCGGTTTTCCGCCGGTTTTTCTCCGAATCAAGTGCGAACACGCGCGCCGCCGAGTCTTTGGCGTCGAATTCCGATTATTTAGCCGCGGAATCCTTGAAAAAGGCGCAGGAATCGCGGGGAAATGGCTCGGTGGACGCGGGCGCGGACGCGGCGCTGTCGACGGCGAAAGAGCGCGGAAAGCAGGACTTAGTGCGGTCTTCGCGGGTTTTTAAAAAGCGGCTTCCCCCGAACTTCGTTTCGGAAACATTTATTCCGCATTTGGAGGACCAGATCATCCACATGGCGCCTTCTTTTTCCGTAGTTCAACTTGGAGAGGTGGGCGCCGCCTACGGGCGGCTGCCCGCGACTTTGCGCGAAAAAGAAGTGGAAAAGGTGCTTTTAAAACACCTGCGGGAGAACCTGAAGCATGTACATACACCTGAAGAGGTTTTGGCGGTGGTGTCGCTCATGGAGCTCTTCTTCTCCGGCGACGCTGCTGCTGCTGCGGACGGGCAGCAGCAGCAGCAGCAGCAGCAGCAGCAGCAGCGCAGCTGGCTGCCGGCGCTGAAGCGCCGCAGCAGCGGCGTGGAGACGGACTTGTTCCTGCAGCTGCAGCAGAAGCTGCAGCAGGAGACGGGGCTGCTGCCGGGCTTGTCCTTGCTGAATTTGTTTTCTGTTATTCGCTGCTACTCCAAAGCCCTCGCCGTTCCTGCTGCTTTCACGCAGCAGCAGCAGCAGCAGCTGCAGCAGTTCCTCCAAACCCTCAGAGAAAAAGCAGATTTGCTGCTGCACAGCCACCGCCCCGAGGAGCTCGTGGCCATTGTTGCTTCCATCGCCACGTACGGCACTGCTGCCCTCCCGCAGCAGCAGCAGCAGCAGCAGCAGCAGCAGCAGGGAGGCAGCAGCATTGGTTCTCTGGTGTCTCGGAACCCGCATATGGCGGTGCTGCCGCACGTGCTGCAGCAGGTGGACATACACCTGAAACTTGATAACTTTTCTTTTTTCCAAATCTTCCAGCTGCTGCATTTGCTGCAGAAGTGCAGCATAAAGCACAAGTTGCTGCTGGAGGAGTGCATATACTTCTTGCACAACGGCAGCTACTCGCCAAAGCAGCAGCAGCAGCAGCAGCTGCTGCGTCAGCACCTGCAGCAGCAGCAGCAGCTCCTCCAGCAGCAGCTCCTCCAGCAGCAGCTCCAGCAGCAGCAGCGCCACGAACGCGCGCAGCAGCAGCGACAAGAACAGCACCAGCAGCTGCAGCCGGGCGAGCAGCAGCAAGACCAGCAGCAGCAGCAGCAGCAGCAGCAGCAGCAGCAGCAGCAGCAGCAGCAGCAGCAGCAGGATCCCTTAAAAGTCGACACCGCCAAGTTGGCCCAGATGGATCCTGCAGAAGCTTCTGAGTTCATTAAGGCGCTGGGCCAGCGCATCCGCAGCAAAGGCCTGCTGCAGCAGCAGCAGCAGCAGCAGCAGCCGCAGCAGCAGCAGCAGCAGCAGCCGCAGCAGCAGCAGCAGCAGCAGCAGCGCAGCGTTGCTGAGGGCCTCCCGCCCTCGCTGCTGGTCAAAATCGCCTGGTGTTTAAATCAGCTGGGGGAGTTTGAGAGAGTGGAGCGTGTCTTGGAAAAGCCAGTAAATAAAATAAATAATAAATAATAAATAAATAAATAAATAATTAAATTAATTAATTAATTAATTTGATTTATTTGTTTTTTTGGCTCTGCAGATTTTGAGGGCTGCGGCGAAGTTCGGAGCCGTGGAGTTCGCCCGACTCGTTCAAACCCTTCCTCCGGTAGGGTTTAGGGTTTAGGGTTTAGGGTTTAGGGTTTAGGGCTTGCAGCTGCTGGGGAAATTATCCCGAAGAGGAAATTAGTTGGCTCATAAGAGGCGCTGGCTTTTGCTGCTGCTGCGTCTTGTATTTCTTCTCACCCCTCGCTGCTGCTTCCACTGCTGCTGCTGCTGCTGCTGCTGCCGCTGCTGCTGCTGCTGCTGCTGCTGCTGCTCAGGGGGCCCCCGTATTGGATCTAATCTGCAGCAGGCTGGCAGCAACAATTCCTCAAATGCGTCTCTTTGATTTTTTGTTTTTCGTCGTTGGGGCTGCGAAGTTGGGGTGTCTGTACACCCCGGAGCTGCGGAAGACAGCAGCAGCAGCAGCAGCAACAGCAGCAGGTGAGGCAGCACGAAAGGCCGTAGCCTTGCTGCTGCAGCAGCAGCAAAAGTGTTTAAAGGAAATAAACTGCAGCGGAACTAACGCATGCATGCATGCGGAGCAGCAAATGGAAAGGGTTTGCTGCTGCTTGCTGAGGTGTACGTACAGCTGGGAACGCGCTGCTGCTGCGGCCAGCAGCAGCAGCAGCAGACTTGAGAACTCTTGTGGAAAACCACTTTATGGAAAAAAAAGAAGAAATAACTCTTTCTCAAGTAGGGCATTTGGAGAGGGTTTTCAAACAAATTGCGCCTTCGCAGCAGCACGCCCAGGACCTGCTGCTGCTGCTGCCCCCAGACCTGCTGCAGCAGCTGCAGCAGCAGCAGCAGCAGCACCAGAGGCACCACCGCCACCGCCAGCAGCAGCAGCAGCAGCAAACAGACACTCCTGCTGCGCCCACAGGCGAAGCTGCGTGAGCCAGGCAGCTCAAAGCAGCAGCAGCAGCAGCAGCAGCAAAAGTCCCGCAAAACTTCAGATCATTCCAATTCTTTTTTTACTTTTGCTGCTGGAAGTCTCAGCTTTAATTTTTTACTTTTCGAGGCGTCTGCTGCTGCAGTCTTTGCTGCTTCTTCGCAGAAAGAACCAACACTAGACTAGCAGCAGCAAATACAGTTCGGCGGTTGCTGCTGCTGCTGCTGCTGGTGACGCAGAAGAAGCAACACTACAGCAGCAGCAGCCTAGCACTTGCTGCTGCTGCAGACGTGGCAAAGTCAACACTAGACTACCAGCAGCAGCAATCCAGCCGTTGCTGCTGCTGCTGCTGCAGCAGACGCGGGAAAATCAGCACTATATATGCTACCAGCAACAGCAGCAGCAGCCCGGTGGTCGCTGCTGCTGCTGCTGCTGCTGCTGCAGACGCGGCAAATAAGTAGCAAATGAGAAGAGGGTTTGGAGCAGCAAAAGTAAAGTTGTAAAAGGCGAAGAACTTCGCCGTTTGCAATTGTTTGAAATTAAACTAAATTCAAACTTAAATCAATTGCAATTAATTAATTAATTACCTTTACACATTCACTTAAACTGGACTTGCTTGGATCTTGCTGCGCTGCTGCTGCTGCTGCTGCTGCTGCTGCTGCTGCCGCTGGCGCAAAGGGAAACCTTTGTTTGCTGCTGGCCCCACAAGCTGCTGCTCAAATCTGGCGGTGGAAATGAAATGAAAAATGAAGATAAAGAAATGCAAATAATGAAAACTGAAATGAAAGAGAAATTGCAAAAGAAGCGACACTTGCATGCATGCATACACCCCACCGCCGCAGCAGCAGCAGCAGCAGCGCAGCAGCAGCAACGCCCACAGAAGCCCTTTGCTGCTGCACCTCCCCGGCCCTCTCCCACCAGCAGCAGCAGCAGCAGCAGCACCTGCTGCAGCTGGCCCCCGCTGCTGCTGCAAAAAAGCGTTGTGGGGCGAGTTTGGGGTGTACGTACACCGGAATCAGTGCAGCGCGGCGACGCAAATTGCTGCTCCCTTTCCAGATCCATCATCTGCTGCTCGGAGGAAAACTTTGTCGACTTTTTCGCCAAGAAGTTCCTTCAAAAAAGTCCGAATTCGAAGACCATACCATTCGTTCCGCACGTACAGAGAGCCGTCCACCGCCACAGTCACGCCCCCGTCCGTCTCCAGACTCTGCAGCAGCAGCAGCAGCAGCGGGGGAGTTGGGGGGCAGCAGCGGCAGCAGCGGGGGGGTTGGGGAGCAGAAGCAGCGGCAGCAGCAGCAGCAGCAGCAGCGGGGGGTTTGGGCGGCTTGAGGGGGGCACGTCGGGCGGCTCAGAGGCGAAGGAACAGCAGCAGCAGCAGCAACCTCAGCAGCAGCAGCAGCGCCCCAACCCGAACAGCAGCAAGAGCAGCAGCAGCAGCACCCGCTGCTGCTGCTGCGGCGCAGCGCTGACCCTGGTGCGCTGGACGAGGACGGCGATGGACACCGCCGCGAGAGCTGCGGATCTGTCGAAGACGGCGAAGCCGATCTGGCGCATCACTTTCAACGCCGCAGCGTCCAAGTCCCATCCCCAGCTTTCTTTGAGAAGGACTTTGCAGCTGCTGGCGAGGGCGGGGTCTTCTTCTTTGCCCGGCATGAGGCTGGCGGCCAGCACGGCGGCCTGCTTCGCGTCGAAGGAAAACTCCTCACTGACACCGCCAAACACCCGCAAGTCCACCCAGTTTCGCCTCTCAGTGCATTATTTCGTCTTACTTCGCTGTATTTCAGCTTTTTCCCGCCGAAAATGGACAAATGTCCGCAGCTTTCCGGAAATTCAACTTCCGCGCGCGCGGCGCAGCTGCCGATACACCCCGGCACGCCGCGGGAAAGCGAGAAAGAAGCCCCCGATCCGTTCAATTAATCGGGTGCAATTCGTTCAATTTAATTTAGTTCTCACTTTAATTTGCAATTTAATCGTTTTGAACAAGTTTTCAACTCAGACCTCACCGAGCCTTCGCCGGAGCCGCAGCCCCGAAGATCTCGAGCGTCAACAGCCGCACGAGCTCGCCCAAGTAGAACCCGGAAATCATTTTCTCAAAGAGCTGGTGCTTCTTATTCGGCGACTTATTATCAATCTGAATTGAAATCGAACTAAAACAGTTCCGTGACAAATTAAACGAAATCAAACCAAATTCAACTCCAGCAGACCAAACACAGACCCCACCCGCAGCCGACCCCCCACCCAGCAGCAGCAGCAGCAGCAAGCCAACCCCTCCACCCCCACGCCCACCCCCAGCAGCAGCAAGCCAACCCCTCCACCCCCCAAAGAGCAGCAGCAGCAGCAGCAGCAGCAGCAGCAGCAGCAGGACGGACGGCCTCGTCTGCGGGAGTGGTGGGGAGGTTTTTGTTGAAGTTCCCGCACTCGACGTTGACCACAGCGCCTCTGTAGCCGAAGGCCGCGGCCTGCGGCTCCCAGTAGCAGCAGTTGGCCCCAGTGCCCAGAATGACGCCCACGGTGCAGGGGGGCCCCCCGGGGCCCTTTTGGTACGCGCAGGACAGCAAAGTTCCCACCTGCAGCGGCGCCCCCGCTCCAAACCCTAAACCCTAAACCCTAGCGCCCGCGCGCCCCGTCTGCGCCGCGAAAAACCGCCCCTTTTCGCCCAGAAACGCCCGCGAAACACACATTCTACCCAAACCCTCAGAGACCTTAAACCCTCGCAAACCCTAAACCCTAAACCCCCCAATACCCTAAACCCCCGTAAACCCTAAACCCTAAACCCTCACAGTGTCGTTGACGACGGCCTCGCACTCGAGGCCCAGGCCCTGGCGCGCGAAGGCAGCAGCAAGAAGAGGCACGACGTCTTTGCCGACGACGGGGTCGTCAGTGTCGTGGCCGGTGGCGAAGCCCTTTGTCCACGACTCCAGGACGCTGTTGTTCAAACTCTGCATGCACGGCGGAAGCAGCGGAATAAACGCGCGGAGAGTCCAAAAGACAGAAAAGGGTGGAAGGAGAAGAAAAAACGAGCCAAACAGGAGAAAAAAAAATCCAAAATGCCCCCAAAACGGGAAATTGAGAAAACTTGCAAAATTCAAGTTTCGCGCGAGGTGCGCGTACACCCCAGCGCGTCTGGGGTGTACACGCAGCTCCGTACCCGCTGGGCGCAGGGAAACGAAAAGGTGAATCCCAACTTGGCGGCTTTCTTTTTCAGAAGTTCTTTTTCGTTGTTTTCTTCAACTAGTTCTCCAACGCACCCCGCGAGAACATCGAAGAGCTGCGAAGCCGAAGTTTCGCGGGCCATGAGGTCGATTTCGCCTCCGCACTCGTAGAGGCTGCGGAAACACGAAAAACAAAAAGTGGAATCTCGCGGAGATTCGCACCTCGTTGAATTGCAAATTAAAAAACTTGCAGAAATATGTATTTATTTCGCAGTTTCATCCGGAGTTTCCCCGCGGATCCTCACTTTTTCAAGAACTGCTGCGAGCGGATGCGGCCGCCGCCCAGCAACTCGCAGCGCACCGCCCGCACGTTCGTGCCCCCAAAGTCCAGCGCGTAAAAAACTCCTTTTTCGTTTCCTGTTGGAATTTCAGAAACGCAGGAGTCCAGCATGCGCAGCGAGCACTCCTCGGGCACCCACTTCAGCCCGTGCCGCTTGTGCATCTCCAGCCCCTGCAGCAGCAGCAGCAGCAGCGGCGCAGCAGCAGCGACAGCGGCAGCAGCACAGCGGCACGCGCAGCAGAAGACGGACGTTCAGGCCCTGGGGACGCGGAAGACGGGGCTGGCAGCAGCAGCAGCAGCAGCAGAAGTGGCGGCGGAAGGACAGGGGGAGGCAAACCCTAAACCCTAAACCCTAAACCCTCGGGAAGCCCCACCCTGAGGAGCTCATCGCTGAAGGTCTTGCTCAGATCCTGGAGCTTCTCCTTTGAAAGCCGCAGGGGGGCGAGGACTTGCTGCAGCAGCGACACAGAAACGGGCAGCGAGCTGCAGCAGCAGCAGCAGCGGCAGCGGCAGCAGCAGTTTTCCCGCTGCAGCAGCAGCAGCAAACTGCTGCTGCAGGACTTCGCCCAAAGACACCGCTGCAGTGGGGCAGAGTACCTCAGCTTTCTGCTCGAGGGAGTTGTTCGCCATCTTGGGAGAAGTTCGGGACTTTTTGCTGCAAGAGGTCCGACTGATTTCGAAACACATCAAAGATTGGAACCTTTCCGCTGTTCCAATTGTTGCTGCTGTTGCTGCTGCTGTTGCTGCACTGTCTCACTTGGGGCTGCTGCGCGGCTGCTGAGGGGTTCCTCTTTGCTCAGCAGCAGCAGCGCAGCACCTGCTGCGGAGGCCGTTTGGGCCCTTTTTGCAAATTAAATCCTCGAAAATAACAAAATAACATGAAAGTAATCCTAAAATACCTTTTTTCGCGAAGTTGAGGTGTATATTGGTTCAGGTTTCCGCAGCTTTCCACTTCGCGCTCTCGAGGCGGCACCGCTGCTGCCGCTCGTGCGCAGGCGCCGAAACGCGGGGCAAATGATGGAATAAAGTTTGATTTTCTTTTTTAAAAAGTGTTTTCTTTCATTTAATTCGAAACCGTTTTTTTGAATTTCAAAATTTGCAGCTTTCCGCGCTGCGCAGGCGCGCAGCCAGTCTCGGGTGTCTAGACAGCACCTGCGCAAACAGGCGCTGGTGCGTTTTCTTGTCTTCCGCGCTCGCCTTCTTCACTTCTCGAAAACAATTGCAAAATTAAATGCATTTCGCCATTTAAGTCGAACTTGGCGCAAAAAAGAAGTCTATTTTGGGGTTTGCAAACAAACACTCGCGCAGCAGCGGCAGCAGCAGCAACTGCAGCCGCAGCGCAGCAGCAAAACCTGCGCAGAGTTCAACCTTGCATTTCCAAAAAATCCCCAAATTCAGAATTCAACGAATCCATTTCTTTCGATTTATTTCACTTTTCTGCTGCCCGCAGCCCCTGCAGCCGCAGGGCGGCTCTGCGGGCGCCCGCGTCGATTCGCCGCAAACCCTAAACCCTAAACCCTAATCTCCGAACCCCCAAACCCTAGCCCCAAACCCTAGCTAAGGCCCTGCTGCTGTCTTTCGCAGCTTTAAAGCACTAAACCCCCGCCACCTTTGATAAATATGAATTCGTAAAAAGGCGAAACTCCGAAATGCAAAAGTGCTGCATGCGCTGCACGAATGTTGGGGTGTACGTACACCCCAGAAGTGCTGCATGCGCTGCACAAATGTTGGGGTGTACGTACACCCCAGCCGGCTGCTAGTTACTCTACACTGGCTGGGAAACGGGCTGCAGCCGAGTTGAAGCCTCCGCACAAACCCTAAACCCTAAAGCGGGGTTTGGGGGGCGCCTGGCCGCGCGCGCGGGCCCCGCACGCGGCGCCGGGCGCAAACCCTGTTTTAGGGTTTAGGGTTTAGGGTTTGCAGCTTCTCCTCGAGCCTCTGCTTCCAGGGCAGCTGGGAGACGTCGTTGAAGGTGTCTCTGACTGCCGTGGCTGCGGTGTCTATACACCGCAGCAGCGCAGCAACAGACAGTTCTATTTCTTTTTGAGAATGTTTAAATCTGTCTTTTATATCAATCCATTCTTCAGCAGCAGCTGCTGCAGCAGCACAGGGTTTGCAGTGGCAGCTGCTTTGCTGCTGCTGCTGCTGCAGCTGCTCGAGGGGCTCGTACACCGTGTGCCCCTGCAGAGCTTCCCGCTGCAGCAGCAGCTCCTCCCGCTGCTGCAGCACCAGCAGCAGCAGCAGCAGCTGCAGCAGCAGCACCACCCACCCCACCACTCGCGACGAAAACAGCAGCCACTTTGCTGCTGCCCACAGCTCGGGAAGCCGCGATCTTGCTGCTGGTTTCGGTGCTGCTGCTGCTGCTGGAGTTATTGCTGCTGTTGCTGCTGCTGGAGTTATTGCTGCTGCTGCTGGAGTTATTGCTGCTGCTGCTGCTGCTGCTGAGAAGCTGCCCGCGCCGTCCGCCGAACCTGCTGTGGTTTCTCTCTCCAGAATATTCGCGAGCTGCAAGTTGCTGTTGCTTTTGCTGCTGCTGCTGCTGCTGTTGCTGCTGCTTCTGTTGCTGCTGCTGCTGGTTGAGCCACACGACTCCGTCGGCAGCGGCTGCAGCGTCGCCAGCGCCCTGCTTCCTGCTGCTGCTGCTGCTCCTGTTGCTGCTGCTACCTGCTGCTGCTTGTTGCTGATAAGCGCCCCTTCATTCCTACGGGGACGCCGGCGCAAGAAGAAAGCCCGGTGGGGTCCTGCAGCAGCAGCAGCAGCAGTGGCAGCAGCAGCAGCAGCGGGAGATAGGAAGGCAGCAGCGGCAGCTGAGACTTGCCCAGGAGCAGCAGGAGCAGCAGCAGCAGCTGGTGCTGCTGCAGCAGACAATCCTCTGCAAAAGTGATGAAAGAAGCGGTTCCAGCAGCAGCAGCAGCTCGGAAAACACAAGTGACAGCAGCAGCAGCAGGGACGAGGAGCAGCAGCAGCGAAGACGAGCAGCAGCAGCAACAGAAGAAACTAGAGAGAGCGGAGAGCCGCATTTAGGTGGAGAAGACTTCGGATAGGCACGAGGGTTTAGGGTTTAGGGCTTAGGGTTTAGGGTTTAGGGTTTTGCGGTGTCTGCACACCTCGCTCGGAGGGAGGCGTCGGCGGCGCCTCCGGCATTTTGAAGAAGCGCAGCAACAAAAACTTGCGAAAAAGGAAAATAAAAAGAAAAAAGAAGTTAAAAAGAATTAAAAATAAATTAAATGAAAAGAAATGAACAATTTGCTGCGTCCGGAGCCGACAGCCCCAGCCTGAGGTGTCTGTACACCTCACGCCCGCCACAATCGCCAAAATCAATTTCCCGATTTAGACAAAAGTTTTTTATTTCGTCTGCAGCAGCAACAACAGCAACCCACAGCTGTCGCCCTGCTGTTGCTGCTGCTGCTGCTGCTGGCGTAGCCCCAGCGGCAGCAGCAGCAGGAGCAGCAGCAGCAGCTGCTGCTGCTGCGGCTGCAGCCTCCCGCAGTGTCTCGACACATCAGTAGCAACGTGCTGCCGCAAATGAATTTTTATTTGTGGCTTCTAGGGGTAGGCTTGTATACCCCTTCACTGCAGCAGCAGCAGCAGCAGCAGCAGTAGTGTTGTCGCAGCAGCAGCAGCAGCAGCAGCGTAGTTGGAGCAGCAGCAGCAGCAGCAGCAGCAGCGGTAGAGCAGCAGCAGCAACCCGTCGTCAATAGTACTGCCCTCTTCCCTCCTGGGGGCCTTCGCTCTTCTGTGCGCCAGCAACAGCAGCAGCAGCAGCAGCAGCGGCAGCAGCAGCAGCAGCAGCAGAGGAGCTCGCGGCCGCTTCAGTGTTTGCTGCTCAGCTGGTTACGTCTGCTGCCAAGCGCGGAGCAGCACGAAGAGCAGCAGCAGCAGCAGCAGCAGCAGCAGCAGGAACAATGGAAGACACGGACAGCAGCTCGGAGGTCTCTGTGGGCTCCTCGCCTTCAAATGCCCGCAGCAGCAGCAGCAGCAGCAGCAGGCGGAACAGCAGCCACAGCAACAGCAGCGGCAACAGCAACAGCAACAACAGCAGCAGCAGCAGCAAGCGCACCTTGGGCATGGTCTTGACGGGCACGCTGGAAGCAGCAGCAGCAGCCCTAGAAAGGGAACCAGCAGCAGCAGCAGCAGCAGCAGCAGCAGAGAAAGTCCCCCAATATGAAACCCCAGGGGATTTATCAAATTTGACGGAGCAGCAAATTGCCATGCTGACAAATTTGTCCCAAAGACAAACCCTTGAAGGTAAAGCATTTGCTGCTGCTGCTGCTGCTGCTGCAGTTAGTGATGCTGCTGCTGCTGCTGCAGTTAGTGATGCGGTTGCTGCTAATTAAGATGCTGTTGCTGCTGCTGCGGGCAGTGCTGCTGCTGCTGCTGCTGGTAGTGCTCCTCCTCCTAGCACGAATGTCGGCGCTCTTTGTTCCAGAGGCTGCTGCTGCTGCAAATCCTTTGCTGCTGTTGCTGCTGCTGCTGTTGCTGCTGCTGTTGCTGCTGCTGTTTGAGGTGCTTAGTTTAGCAGCAGCTTTCGACTCCAGCAGCACAAAAGCACAAAGCAGCTGCAGCACAAGAAAGTTCCAGACGGCTACAACACCCAACAGCAGCGTAGCAGCAGCAGCAGCAACAGCAGCAGCAGCAGCAGCAGCAGCAGCAA